TTTCAAAAATAATTGAATAAAATCTATGACTAAAACAGAACCTAAAACACATCATGTCTGTGATTGATGAATCTCTGTGGACCCCGGAAGTCAAAAGCGAATGGGTCGAGTCCGACAGTGAGCAGGGACCATTTCCCCGGACATGCAAAGAATGTTGGAAAAAGAAGCACGCATTATACAACCGCATCAAGAAGAAACGAAAACTATCAATTTTGGAGAAGGGGATGATGAGAAAAAGATAAATATCGGCACCCAAATAGATAGTAGCGTAAGGGAGGGATTGACGCAGCTTCTAAAGGAATATATGGATGTGTTCACTTGGTCCTATCATGGCATGCCCGGGCTCGATACAAGTATAGTAGAGCATCAATTGCCATTAAAAGAAGGATTCCGACCTGTAAAACAAAAACTCCAGAAGAATCAAACCAGATTGGTCCTTGATGATTAAAGAAGAGGTGCAAAGACAATTGGACGCCAATTTCCTAGTAGTATCCAAATACCCTGACTGGTTGGCCAGCATAGTGCCTGTCATAAAAAAGAACGGTAAGGTCAGGGTATGCGTAGATTATAGGGACCTCAATCGAACAAGTCCAAAGGATGACTTTCCCCTGCCACATATAGACACACTAGTAGACCATACCGCTACCAACATGCTTTATTCCTTCATGGACGGGTATGAGGGGTACAATCAAATTAAATTGGCCGTCGAGGACAGAGAAAAAACCTCTTTCATCACACCATGGGGTACCTTTTGCTATCGAGTAATGCCTTTCGGACTCAAGAATGCAGGGGCTACCTATCAAAGGGCTATGGTCACATTATTCCACGACATGATCCACAAGGAAATAGAAGTATACGTGGATGACATGATCGCCAAGTCCAGAAACGAGATGGACCACATTCAATATCTCAAGAAGCTATTCGATCGGCTTTGAAAGTATCAACTCAAATTGAACCCAGCAAAATGTACTTTCGGAGTACGTTCAGGCAAATTCTTGGGGTTCATCGTCAACAAAATAGGAATCGAGGTGGACCCTGACAAAACCAAGGCGATTTTGGAAATGCCCCCGCCGAGCATAGAAAAGGAGGTCAGAGGATTTCTGGGCCGAATCAACTATATTGCCCGTTTCATTGCACAGTTAACGGATAAATGCATACCCATCTTTAAACTGTTGCATAAAAATCAACCAACAGTGTGGAATGAAGAATGCCAACAAGCGTTCAATAAAATCAAAATATGCTTAACCAATCCACCAGTATTGGTACCACTCGTTGAAGGAAGACCTCTGATCCTATATTTGTCAATACTCGAAGAATCCATGGGATGTGTGCTCGGTCAACAAGACGAAACCGGGAAGAAGGAGCAAGCCATTTATTATCTCAGCAAAAAATTCCTAGATTATGAGACCCGTTATACACCATTTGAAAAAACTTGTTGCGCATTGGTGTGGGTCACTCAGTGTCTCCGACAATACATGGCTCGACACACAACATGGTTGGTCTCCAAAATGGACCCAATCAAGTACCTCTTCGAGAAGCCCATTCTGACCGAAAGAATAGCTAGGTGGCAAGTGCTCCTCTCAGAGTTCGACATCATTCATGTCACCCAGAAAGCTACTAAAGGTAGCCCCCTAGCGGACTATCTAGCCCATGGAACAACAAACGAGTATCAGTCCCTACAGGACGACTTTCCCGATGAACATATCATGCACATTGAACACGAAGAGACCAAAGAAGAGGCATGGACCATGTTCTTCGACGGAGCCTCAAACATGCTTGGACACGGGATAGGAGCTATTTTGATATCCCCTGAAAAAAAAAATATATCCCCGTAATGGCCAGGTTGAATTTTGAGTGTACTAATAACATGGCCGAATACGAAGCATGCACACTAGGAATCCAAGCAACTCTAGATCATGGGGTTACCAAGCTCAAAGTCTTCGGCGATTCATCCCTTGTCATCTATCAACTTAAAGGAGAGTGGGAAACCCGAAACTCTAAATTAATCTCATATCTAGAACACATTCGTGATTTAGTTTCGAGGCTGGAAAGCGTCACCTTCAAGTATGTTCCTCGGAAGGACAATCAATTTGCTGACGCCCTCACTACTCTATCATCCATGTTCTCTTTAGATCAAGAGCATGAGATGCCAACCATTCAAATCAAACTGCATGACAAACAAGCTTTTTGCATGACATTAAATGGCGAGCACGATCAAAACCCCTAGTATCACAACATCAAGCAATACCTCATGAAGGGCGAATACCCTGAAGGAATCAATGATAATGATAAACGGAACATTCGTAAGAGGGCAGTAGGGTTCATGTTGATTGAAGAAACCCTCTATAAAAAGAGCTTCAATTCCACTCTGCTAAGGTGTGTGGATCATAAGAAAGCCCAGACCTTGATAAAAGAAATTGACAAAGGAGATTTTGGGACCCACGCACCTGGGCATGTCATGGCAAAGAAAATCTTAAGGGCAGGGTATTTCTAGTCCACAATGGAAGCCGATTTGTCACAAGTGCCAAATCTATGCCGATAATATTCGCGTTCCGCCCGCACCTCTCAGCACCCTGGCTACACCATCGTCATTCTCTATGTGGGGCATGGACGTCGTCGGACCCATCGAGCCCAAAGCATCTAATGGTCACCGTTTTATCTTGGTGGCCATTGACTATTTCACCAAATGGGTAGAGGCAGCATCATACGCACACGTGACTAGAAAAGTGGTGACCACCTTCATCAAGAAAAATATTCTGTGTCGGTATGGCATCCCTCATCGGCTCATTACTGATAATGGGACCAATCTAAACAATAAGATGATGGAGGAATTATGCCAAGATTTTAAAATTCAACACCACAATTCCTCTCCATACTAACCTAAGATGAATGGTGCAGTAGAAGAAGCTAACAAAAATATCAAAAGAATCATCCAAAAGATGGTGTTAACCTACAGGGATTGGCATGAAATGCTCCCCTTTGCCTTGCACGATTATCAAACTTTCGTAAGGACCTCCACCGGGGCCACCCCATTCTCCCTCGTATACAGCATGGAGGCGATACTTCTGGTAGAAATTGAGATACCCTCCCTAAGAATCATTATGGAAGCGAAGCTAACAGAAGCAGAATGGGTCCATATCGATTAACCTAATTGAAGAAAAATGGTTGAACGCCATATGTCGGGGGCAAGTTTATCAAAAGAAGATCAAGAAAGCCTACGACAAGAAAATCAATCCCCACACTTTCCGAGAAGGGGATTTGGCAATGAAGAAATTGCTTCCAGCCCAGAAGGATAAAATTGGGAAATGGGCAGCGAACTATGAAGGACCCTTGTGGTCAAGCGAGCCTTCTCAGGAGGAGCCCCTATCCTCACCAACATGGACGGAGAAGAGCTTCGACATCCAGTCAACTCAGATGCGGTAAAGAAATACTACGCTTGAAGACATTGCTCACGACCTGTCAGGATGAAAACTCACAAAGAGCATCCTGGGCAAAAGATAGGGTTCATATTCCTCGCTAGGATACATCCTAGGCAAAAATTAGAGGTCCAAAAAAAGAGAGAGAGAGAGAGCAATGATTACCTTAGTCGAAAACCGCAAGGCGACTAAGGTAATACCTTCCCAGAAGCAGGCAAACTTTGCATGATCTTCACTCCGGGCTCGAGCATCTCAACTGAAGCAACCAAGAGAAGCAGAGAAACAAAAATCAGGAACATGATTGTTATAGCTTATACAGTGTAGCCAACCTTGGCCAACCCTGCTTCTAAATCCCTTTTGTAAATCCTTCTATAAAATAAACCATTTGTTTATATAAAATTGTCTCCTCACCTCTTTTCTCTTGACTAATTTATGCCTCTGTATTAGTGAAACATGAGCATGCATAAATACAAGAAAGCATAAGAAACAAAAAAGAAAAAAGTAAAGAAAGATGCCTGCTAGGACATTATTAGGCAAAAATGAGGGCAGCATGCTAGATCGAAAACCTACAAAGGGCGGTCTAGGCAAAAGTTAAGGCCTTCATAAAAAGGAAGAAGCCCACTAAGATACCCTAGGGAAAAATTAAGGCAGTCCGCTAGATCGAAAACCCGCAAAGGGCGGTCTAGGCAAAAGATAGGGCTAAAACAAAAATAAAAGTTCATAAGAGTAACCATGGGAGAACAGCAAAAAGAATACCAGTCGCTTTCTAGATGCCTCAACTAAAAATAGATTGCATTTAAGGCATTCACGCAAATAGTTGCACAAAAATGACTATGTCAAAATCAAAAAAAGAAAAAACTGCTTCAAGCAAATAAGAAAAACAAAAAGAGCATTCATGTAAGGAAATTAACTTTGTGCTTTCATTTGTAAACAGGAAGCACTCACAAACACCTTGGTATATCAAAAGGGCAAGATAGAGATTCCTCGACAACCAACAAGCTGGATGACCAATAGAAAACTCTACCGGAAAAGCATCCTTCAAACACCGGCGCATGAGCTAAAGAGCAGTAAGCGGCTACCACCACCAGTCCTACGAAGTGGACTGTACCAGCCTAATGGGGGGTTCATACCCATCAACTTGCGCACAACGTGCGCCTGATCTGCACACGAGCCAGACCAGTAAGTCACAGCCGGTCCAAAGCAGAGGACCATACCAGCCTGATGGGGGGTTTATACTCATCCAGTCCTACGCACAGTGGGCTACAACTACCAGCCTGATGGGGGGTTTATACACATCCAGTCCTATGCACAGTGGCCTGCAACTACCAGCTTGATGGGGGGTTTATACTCATCCAGTTCTACGCACAGTGGGCTGTAACTACCAGCCTAATGGGGGGTTTATACTCATGCAGTCCAACGCACAGTGGGCTGTAACTACCAGCCTGATAGGGGTATACTCATCAACCGAGGGGTCGGCTACCCTAAGAAGGAGCATCCTGGAGGCGCATAACACATTTTCCCCAAAGGATCAGTCACCGCAAGACAGAGCATCCGAAGGACAACCGGGCAAGAGGGTTAACTCCTTCACCCTCCAGCCGATCTTCTTGGCACAGCAGGCCAACAGTCGGCTAACAGACCCCAAATCTTGCCAGACCTCAAAATAAAGAGCAGAAGACCTCCAAATCGAAGATGGGGAAGGCCTAAAAATCCACTAGGAGAGACTATTTGGCCCCATATTAGACTACGAAGGTTTTTTTGTACGAAAAATAAGGATTCCCACCTTATGGGGTCGAGACTGCCGTCTCGCTTTTCGAGATCGCCATCTCGCTTTTCGGGATTGTCGTCTCGCTGAATGGCAAGTCGAGACGCCATCTTGTTTGGCGACACGACCCTCTCGTCCTTTGGCAAGTCGATACCGCCGTCTCGCCAAACGAGACGGCGGTCTCGACCCGATAGGCGCGAATCCCTATAAATAGGGGGCGCTCTCCCCTTCATTTCACACAGTTCTTCAATTCTTCCTTCTACATTTTCTTATAATTCCTCTTTTAGAGCCCCTCCGAAGCATTTCCGGAGTTTCTGAGTGTTTTAAGAGAGTTTTTATAGCGAAAAAGCCGCATTGTAGAGCGAAGGGGCTGCCAAAACACACCCTATTTTTCACGAGAATTAATCAAAGCTTGCTCCGGAGGTTTCTTCACTCTCTACCTCTCTTTTATTGTCCTTTTTACTTACATTAAATTGTGCAATAGCTACTAGGGCCATGTAGTCATTATTTTTTTAATTCCACAAATAAAAGGGTAAAAGAATCATTTCAAAAAGTTTATTTATAAAATAATTGGCCCATCATAGGGAACCCGAAAGGGGCGTCGTAGGGGAGCTAATACCTCCTTTACACGTAACTAACTCCCTTACGCAACTTTGGTTTTAATGACCAAAGTTGGTTTTTCTTAAAAAACCAACACCTTTTTCTTTCCTTTTTCGATGTTTCTGGTAAAAATATCGATGTGGACTCCATAAGAACCTTCTCAATCTTGCTCTTAGGTCAGCCCGATTATCGGACGATCTAAAGCTCTCTTTTGAAAACCTCGCCCTTAGGTTCAGCCCAGTTATCGGACAACATAAAGGCGTTGTAACTCCACCTATATTAAAACGCGAAAAATGGAAGTCAGAACCATCGCATTGCTCCGACCGCCTCCTTTTGATGGTGGCGACAAGCGCTAAGCCATAATTCGATCAAAATCTTCTAACTCCGCAAAAATATTGATAGCATCTTCTCTTACAATAAAGTGGGCAACATTTTCCCATATATCATCATCAAAAATGATAGTCACACCCTTGACACGAGAAGTGGCTACATGATCTCTAAATTTAAAATGAGAATAGAGTACCCTAACTAAATCAAGGTAGTAAGTACCTTGCATTTGGATAAATGGGAGGACACCGTGTATGTCAAGAAGATTTGGAAAATTAAATCCCCTATTGATTGTTAGAATCGTGCAGCGGAATGTTTGCGTTTACGAACAAAAACCAAGAGGGGGGTGAATTGGTTTCTTAACAAAACTTAGGGTTTTAAAATTTTTACCAAAATTCACCGATTAAAATGTTGTGTAAAGCAAATAGAAAAGGGATAGAAGATTACACAGTCGATTTATACTGGTTCGGATCAAATGACCCTACGTCCAGTTGGTAATCACTCAAACAGAGGATGAACGCTGTCACTATAATCATAGTTATACAAACATATTAGAAATGAAAAGATAAGGTAAAGAATACAACTATCTTGAGTCACACAAGAGATGAACACCTCCTTTGAATCCACAAAGGATGAAGAACAACTTTCCCTAGAGACGACACAACACACAATCCACCAAGAATAACCACTCAGTGATTCTTATCGCTTCTAACCCACACTAGGTTTTAAAAGCCCCTTTTTCCTCCAACAAACAGTTCTCTGGCAGTCACAGCTCTTAAATTTTGTTTGAAAAAGGTTGTTCAATTTGCAGAGAGCCTTAGAGAACCTTAAGTAGAAACATTAGGGTTTGGGAATTGGGGATTTTTGAAAATAGATGAATTGGGAATAGGGTTTTCGAAACTTGGTCCAATTTTGAATTTCAAAACACATATCTGACTGAAATAATCGATTATCTTGAGTGTTAATCGATTATTCCAGAGCCAAATTCGTAGAGAACCCAAAACAGCTCCAGTTAATTTATTATTAGGGCATTTAATCGATTAACAGGGTGTTTTATCGATTATTCCAGAGAGCATATGCTGAAAATGGTTTTCTCTCATTAATAATCGATTATCCTGCCATTTAATCGATTAATCCAGTATGTTTTTGATAAAAATGAGTTTTTAGAGCTTTTAAAGAGTGGTCTATGTGCTGGCTATCTTGGACTCTAATATTACAGACTCAAAAACATAAAAAAAGAGTGATTACATAACATTATAAGTCTTCAAATCTTTAAGTCTTTTATTCTTGTATCATCATCAAAATCTACAAGCTTCATATCCTTGTATGTTTCAACAATCTCCCCCTTTTTGATGATGATCAAAATTTCCTTTAAAGCCCTTTGTAATAACCTGTTTTATCTGTCACAACTAACAAAAACATTAAACATACCAGATAACATTTAAATTTAATGAACATAAGGCTTTAGATAATTTCTCCCCCTATTTTGATTATAATAAAAAAGAAATGAAAAAACTCCCTCTCAATATATGCATAAAAATAAACAACTCCCCCTCAAACAAAGCAAAAAAAAAAACAATTTTATTCCATAAAATAAATAAATTACAAGCAATAAGATATATTGAAGAGATTAAAACCCTTCACTCCCATCACTGTTAAATGTGGCATCAAATCTATCTTCTAAGTTACAAACCCTATCATCTACATATGAGATATGGCGAATGATTTCCTGATGTCGTTCTTAAGAGATAGTGAAGAGTTCTTGCATTCTTTGATTCATATCAAAGAGCATATCTTCCATTGATTGACAGGATGTAGGAGGGGCAGAAGATGTCCCAGCATTGTGAATATTTTCAATAGTAAATTCAGCAGCAGCAGACATCTCTTCATCAGAATCTTCAGCATTTTCAGCCATGTTAGGAGCGTCATCTTTGTGTACGTAGATTCCATTGACACACACCATTTGTAACTGAATTAGCGTGATGTCAAGCATTTTATTTGAATTTATTGTTCTGACTGTTTGCTCTCCTTCAACATTCATTCCTTTGTATTCTAAAATACGAGAAATAAGAAGAGCATATGGGATTTTAAAAGTAGGATGACACTTGGCTTTAAGCATGGTCATAGTGACCAAACTACCCCAGTCAATTGGCTCATTATTCATGATGGCATGAATAATGCGAAGATCAATAGATGAGCATTGGGCATGGTTGGTTGCCTGGGGACATAAAATCCAGACAATGAGATGCAGTAGCAAGCGTTCCTCCTTCTTTAATGGGCCGACCAATAGAAGTCGCCCAATTTCCATGGAGGGGTTGTGGAAAAAATGAGTAGTAATCCATAACTCTATTAAAATCTTTTAACTCCGCAAAAATATTGATACCATCTTCTCTTACATTAAAATGGGCAACATTTTCCCATATATTGTCATCAGGGATGATAGTCACACCCTTGACTCCAGAAGTGGCTACATGATCTCTAAATTTAAAACGAGAATAGAATACCCTAACTAGATCAGGGTAGTAAGTACCTTGCATTTGGATAAATGGGAGGACACCTTGAAGTTCAAGAAGATTTGGAAAATTAAATCCCCTATTGATGAATTGATCACCAATAATGTATTTTGGAGTGATGATACCCCTTTCTTTCTAGAAGGTGAGAAATTCTTGTCTACCTTCATCGTCTGAGATCCATCCTTCAACAAAATTTGGACGGGGATGAGAGGCAGGAGCAGATCTTCTTCTTGTGGGGATCTTAGCACGAGATGAGGAAGCCATTAAGATGAGAATGAAAGAAAATAAGAGAGTTTTGAAGGCAAGTAAGGTTGGGAGAAGGCAAGAGAGTTTGAATGATGCAAGAATGCTTTGATTCAAGGATTTGAGGTGTGGAGAAGTGAAATGAAGGCTTTCTATATATAGGGAACAAGTAAAACATTCATAAACGGTCATATTTGGGTGAAGGAGTGCCAAAATAGCCATTTCAAACGGCTAGTTCATCAAAACGTTACAGTTTAATCGATTAAAGCTTCAGTTAATCGATTAAACCATCAACTGAACCAGATAATCGATTAATTGATGCCTTTAATCGATTAAATGAGTAGATAATCGATTATTGCTTCAAATAATCGATTATTCCATAGAGAAACTTCATATTTTGGGCATTTAGGTGCAGATAATTCGTTAATGCTTCAAATAATCGATTATTCCAGAGAGATCATCAAATTTTTTAAGGTTTAGACACATGATAATCGATTAAAACCCTACATAATCAATTATTATAGTACAATCATGCAAAAATTGATTAGTTAAGCATAATTTAGGCTATTTCTAATATTCCTAAGTCTCTTCTAAGATCATAGAATATATCCTTGGGAAGAGGTTTAGTAAAAATATCTGCTAATTGATGCTTTGTATCAACATATTCGATTTTACAATTTCCTTTGCTAATATGATCTCTTAAGAAGTGATGTCTAATCTATATATGCTTAGTTCTAGAGTGCATTACTGGATTCTTAGTAAGATTTATTGCACTTGTATTATCACACATCAAAGGAATATCACTTAGAAAGATAATATAGTTTTCTAATTGTTGTTTCATCCATAAAATTTGAGCACAACAATTACCAGCTGCAATATATTCAGCTTCAGTAGTGGATAAAACAACACATGCTTGTTTCTTAGAGTGCCAAGACACTAAGGATGATCCTAACAAATGAGATGTTCCACTAGTACACTTTCTATCTATTTTACATCCACCATAATCAACATCAGAAAAACCTATTAAACTAGTAGAAGCTTTAGATGGATACCATAAATCATGTAGTTCCTTTTAAATATTTTAAAATTCTTTTTACTGCAGTTAAGTGAGATTCTTTTGGACATGCTTGAAATCTAGCACACACACAAACAAAATGCATAATATCAGGTCTAATTGCAGTTAAGTATAACAGTGAACCTATCATACCTCTATACATAGATTGATTTATTTCCAAACCTGATTCATCCTTGTCTAAATAGCATGAAGTTCCCATGGGTGTGTTAGCTTCCTTTGAAGTGTCCATTCCAAGTTTCTTGAGAATCTCTTTGCAGTACTTGGTTTGAGATACAAAAATGCCATCTTTAAGTTGTTTAATTTGAAGTCCAAGGAAGAACGTTAATGCTCCCATCATTGACATTTCAAATTCACCATGCATTATCTTAGCAAATTCTACACACAAGGAATTATCAGTTGATCCAAAAATGATATCATCAACTTATACTTGAACTAATAAGATATGTTCTTTTACTTTCTTAATAAACAAAGTGGA